TTTTTGTGCGCAAAGAAAACAAAAATAACAACTTTGTTCAACAATTCTTCTCCTCCTCATCCAGTCTGCTGTGGCTTGCCTCCATTTTGGGGAGTATCACGACGCATGCGCGCACTTCCGCTTCGTGTAAACAACGCATGCGCATTGCGCTGCTGCTTACGTCAACACGGACATGAGTCAGCACGCGCATGCGTTGTTTACACGAAGCGGAAGTGCGCGCATGCGTCGTGATACTCCCCAAAATGGAGGCAAGATGTCACATGGACTATTTTACTGATGTCCTTACTACGTTTCTGGACCTTGATTGTGGTAGTACCCTTGCTGTCTATGGGAGGGTCAAAGAGCTCTCAGAATGCATCAAAAATATCTTAATTTGTGTTCTGAAGATGAACGAAGGTCTTACGGGTTTGGAACGACTTGAGGGTGAGCAATTAATGACAGAATTTTCATTTTTGGGTGAACTATCCCTTTAAATGTAATTATGGTTTAAAAACCTCATGATTCCCAGTCCATTGTAAGTTTGTTACTGTGCTCATTTTTTCCTTAATTTCTACAAATGTAGGGATGAGTTGAGATCATTTTCTGTGGTATTATGTCCCTCTCGCTCACCGAAAGGCATGCCGATTCCGTAACCCTTGGTGTCCAGCAGGCCTCCGATCTGGGTGAGGTTGCATTTGAGGCTGCGGTGGTACTCATTCATGGTGCTCTCAAGCAGGAAGGCGTATTTAGAGTTCAAGACTCGTGCAATGCCCTCCTCTGTGCTCTTCACGAAGACACTGGGCTGCTTTGAATACATGTAGTTCCACATCCGCTGATACGTTTGATAACGAGAGTTCTGAAAGAGGGGAGGAGAGGATGTATAATCAGTGCATACATCATAAAAAAAAAACATTTAAACACGGTTTAACATGCAAAAAAAAACAAAGAGAAAAGAAACAGTGAGACACACCGATGGTAAAAACTCTTGAGCAAACAAAAAACTGATAAGAAAATAGATAGTCTGTAAGCCAAGGGTACACTACAAGCAAAAACAACAACAACAAAATAAACAAGAGATTCAAAACCCATCCAAATGCATATGCAAATATATGCCTGCTGGCACTTTCCATGAATATGGTACAAAATTGGCTTTTTTAACAGATGTTCAGTGAAAGAAGGTGCTTAAAGCATTAGAGGCACAAATCCCAAGTTTTTCGTTGTGACACCTATAAGTAAGATGAACATAAACACTACAAATGACAGTATCCCAACCAAAAATAACTGAATGTATAATTCAGTTTATTGCAGTAAAAAAAAAAAAAATTTTTTTTAAATACAATTGAAACATCATTTGGACTCTTTCTACAGCGTGACAATTAAAAAATTATATTACATTTTCTCAATTTTCTCATTTTGACAAATATTGCATTCTTGACTGTCTTTATCAAGTTTGTCTGTTTTTATCTGTTATAGATTAATGTAATTGTACATTAATCTATAATTAAAAACTAGTATTTGGTCCCAAACTGATGATGGCTTAATTTAGGCTAAATTTGCAAGCTTATAGTCTAGTACATTCTTACTTATTTTTTAATTTTATAAATTGTCAACTTTTTTTTATTTATAAATTACATGAATAAAGATCAACATGAAATTAAAATTCACCCAATCTATTTTTACATGGTTGTTACTGATATTATTGTGAGTGATTTATCTATGCGTTAATCTTTTACATTTGTTTTGACTTAATAAAAATGTCATAAAAATGTCTTAACTCGATCTTCCAGTGAAACGACTGACTTCTCTCTGGTCATGTAATATCGCTTAAACCCTGCCCCAATGTTTCAGTCGACTGCAAGCTTGCATTCAGATCTGTCACCATCCAATCAACAACCGATGGATAGACCAAGTGTCTGCCCTACATTTTTTCCTTTATCTATAGTCTGTTTCACTCGCATATACATTACATTATGAATAAAAATATCTGTCGCTACATCTCTTTCATCACATTTGCAAACATGTTCTTAGTGTTGGTGACAGGCTTGCAAAATATGAAATGAACAGAAAATTATAACGTCGTACAATATTTAGTTTGACCTCCTGAGGCTGCTTAACATTTGCTTATGGTTAAAAAGAAGTTTAGAACACCAAAGTATACTGAATTTATGGAAAGTTCCTCCTATTTATTATGACCCTTTATTGCCCACAAAACACACAATGACTCCTCACTAACCCTTCCAGGCAGATGTTTCATAAGTGACCATTCACATCTGCAAGCCAGCATGTCTTCACTTTTGTGTGCGTATGTGTGTATAAACTTAATATCATATGATTTGTACCATAAAAAAGGTCATGGTGCTTCCTCCATGAATGGTGCCATACTGGATATTGGTTTGATCGGCCAGGTCATCGGGGGATTCGATTGGCACTTCCATTCTCTGCACTGTCAGAAACGCAGCCAGATTCGCTGTGTATGAAGAGATTATTATGAGAGTGAATGCCCACCTAAAAGAGAGAGACAGAGAGAGCGAGGACATAAACGATGGAAGCAGAGGGCAACGAGCCCATAGCTGTGCTGTGTAATGTGTCCATTGACTCTGTTAAAACGATCATCAACATATATGGAGCTCCAGCACACGCTCACGCTCACACTCACCAGACCCCACTGACGCAGCGTGTGGAGAGGGCCCGGGGCATGATCTCTGACCCCTGCTGCATGAAACCCCCAACAGGAAACCACAGGCTGTTTCCTAGTGTGTACTGATTTTCCAGCAGGTCTCTGTGCTCACGCAGACACGGGTGAGGGTTATACCATTCATACGGACTCAACCTGAGACAAGTACACAGAGAGAGCGTTAGAGAAATCTTGCACGGTGCATTACATTTTTATTTTCTCACCATACTATAAAAATAATAAATCACTACATTTTGCTAGATGAATTCTTAAAACAAAATAAAAAATTAATTATTATAATAATAATAACTGCCAATAGGGTAAGAAAGCTAAACCTAACTGAAGATTTCATTTGCATCTCTGAAATAAAGTATTAATATCTTATGCAGTTTTACCTCTGAGATAAATTAATATTATTTTAAAGAGCAAAACAACCAAACACACTGATTAAGGCAAATATTTTTTTAGCTGTGTTTGAGTATATGTGTGTGTAGGTGTGCGTTTATGTGTGTACCTAGCAGAAAGAAAAAGCACACAGCTGACAGCGAGGTAAGCCAGCAGCATGAAGAGCCAAACAGCCGGTGAGAAGGGATCCAGGAAGGAGAAATAACCTGGCTTCCTGCCCTGAGAGACAGTGGAAGAGAAAGAGAGGTAAATGAATGCAGCTGAAGGAAGGAAGGTGGTAGAAATAAAAGCCAAAAGGAACTAGGTACACTATGAATATTCAATCTGTTAATTACATAAATGTGACAATAGAAAATGCAGCACTGTATAATTACGGCATTTAGACAAATTTTCTTTCCATCAATCAGTCAGTCAGTCTGTCTGTCTGTCTGTCTGTCTGTCTGTCTGTATATCTATCTATCTATCTATCTATCTATCTATCTATCTATCTATCTCTGGTTGTTATTCAGGACAAGAAGAGAATATCACACTAGTATCAGGGCATTTGCCTCAATGTGTACCATCTCATCCTCCTGTTTCTTCCATTGTATGTTTTAATCGTGTATGTTTTACTTCAGCCACAAGATGGCGCTATTGACCACAACAGCACACCAGAGTCAACAAAGATGGATTTTAAAACTGTTCCATGGAAAGCAGATCTTGCTGTTTACTGTTTACCAATAAAGGTACAGCCAATATTAACCAGTTTTCGGTATCAGAAGGTGTGGGTCAGGTTTTGCTTATAAACATTTGGTCTCTATAAGGATATTAAAACCTGAAACCAGTCAACCCCATGATAAAAGTTTAATAAACAATTGGAAGTTAATTACAAATTTATTACAGTCAATTAATTTATATGCAAATTCATTATTCTAATTAATCATAGTTAATCACATATATCAATATTTGATGAGAAAAGCACAGAAATTAAGAAATATTTGAAAGACGTTGCAAAAGAGTAAAACATTGCATAGACATTACCAAAAAGCAAATTTTAACCTGTTTTTTTTTTTAACACAATATCACTGAACACAAGCCTATAACAATCTTTCAGTCAACAGCAATAAATTTTTGTTAACAAGTTTGTCTGTCTGAGGTAAACTTTTACACAGGACATGTTTCTGTATTCTGTCTCTGTTGTTTTTTAGTTTGTTGATGTACGTGAACATCCAGACTGAAGCCATTGCGTAGATTCTGTGTGTGTGACTTACTATATGGACCCTGTAAAGAATACTGATGCCCAGGGTCATAAAGGGTTTTGAGAAGTCAATGACCTTCTCTCTCTCAGATGTGATGGTAAAAGCTGCTACAGCCAAATCAGCTTTCTGCTCCCACGAATGAAGGAGAGAGAAGGAGAGAGCAACAAAACATTGTAAAAGCAGAACATAAATTCTTGTAAAAGTCATCTAGACACAATAAAGAAAATGACACAGAACTGAATTGAATGCAACTGTGTGATTTGCATTCATTAATTCAGGAGGGGATGTGTTGATGAGTATGACCACATACCCTGTTGATCAGCTCTCCCACCATGCCTGTCCATGAGCCGTTGGGTTCAGGTGCTCCATACAGGCCATCGTCCACCAGTTTGATGCGGAAGGTGAATTTGAGGCTATCAGCCAGCTCTCTCAACATGTCCACACAGAAACCCTCGTACTGCTCATTCCCCTCAAACTCCTGGTAATTCACCTTTCTCATCACGTACGGGTTCTCCTGCACGCACAAACACACATGTGAGTCATTCATGTTATGCAGTAGTTTCAAGTCCCCATCACATTTGTCTTAATATATTAGATAAAATATTAAACTCACATTTTTAAAAGTTATATAAGTTTATAAGTTAAGAAAACAGCAGTGCATTTTTTTATAATTTTACTACTTTGAGCAGGTGTTGCTTTGTCATGTCTCCAGATGACACATTAATTTCTAACATGAAAAACATTAATAACAAATATTCCAGGTGTTTTTTTTTTTTAAATTCTTTCCTTTCTCTAATCTCTAAAATGTTTCGGGCAAAACATTAGTTTTTTTTATTTTTATTGGGAATATTGTTTTATTTGGTAATCACTATATAGTTGTCCTCTTTATCATTTCAGTTTTTTAGTAATCCTTTAACTAACAAAAGAGTTATTTAATGACTGAAAGTGACAGGAAGTGACATATTTTCTAATCGGAACACAACAGCACAAAAATAAGCAAATTTTAGCAAAGGATTTGGTAAATTCTGTTATGAAAGTTGGTTTGTCTCACTTTAAAACACATCATCTTGTAAGATAAAACTACAGAAATTTTTGATATATTTTGAAATATCTTTTCACTAATTTGGACTAAATTAATTTCAAATTGACCCTCCATTAATTTCTGTGAATTCCTTATTCTCTTAATAATAACTATGTTCTTTCCATCATGATAGACATTCTGTTAACTGTATGTCCATTGTGTAAATAAGTAATAATTAATTAATAGTTTAAGTGGACATTATAGAGTTCAAAATGTACTGCATAACAGGAATTACCTATGTAGATGTGGTAAATATTGTGTGAACATAAGTGGGCTATTTGGACCTGCTGTAGTGCAGTTGGTTCTCACCAGTATAGTGGTGATGATGAGGCTCTTGTTAGCCAGAGTCTCAGACACGTTGATATCCAGACTGGTGGAGTTCATCAGCAGAGTGTTGTTAGAGTACCAGATCCCAATCTAACACAGAGATGGATGACAAATGGAACAATCAAATGGAAAGATGCTGGCTCTATTCAAAGTAAGTGTGTGTGTGTGTGTGTGTGTGTGAGAACCTACTTAACAAATTTGTACCCAGAAGTGAGCTAAATCTGACAAAACCTTCTTTTAGTGATATCCTGATTTGTTTTTGTTTTGTTTTGTTTAGTTTTTTAATTGGGAAAATTGGGGGAAAAAAGTTTTCTGTTAGGGTTAGGATTAGGTTATTTTATCTAAACTAATATATAAAAACATTAGACGTCTTTGTATATCCCCGCATAAGTAAATGTGTACATGTTTGTGTGTGTTTTTAACCTCTTTGTGGCCTCCCCTGTGCTTCTCCAGGATGTGGAGGGAGTAATTGGTCCTCAGGCCTTTACTGTTGAACTCAACTCGACCTGTCAAACCATCATACTCCACCTGATCAAAACATGGGAACAGAGAGAGAAAGAGAATAGAAACAGTTATGTTACCTTAAATAACACAATGGATGCTCTCAAACACAGAGAACAATGCTGGAAGACTTTCAAGTGGTTGAATATATAAATGTACACACACACACACACACACACACACACAGACTGACCATACGCAGGTAGTTCATGAGGCTGGTTCCGTGTTGCCAGATCTGAGGGGAGGTGCAGCTGAGAGGTTTGACGCCAATCTCCTGACTCCGGTTGAGTTCCTGCACTGCACTCACCACCACGTGGACCGCATCAAACAGCAGGGCCGACGACAGCTGAACACACACATACACAGTTTAGTGTGAGCAGTCTGCGTGTGATACATCGATAGGCTTCTGTATTGTGTTTGTGTGTGTATCACCGCTGGTCCAGGGTAAGGGTTAATGTCACAACCCTCTCTCCAGGACAGGTTAAGGCTCCTGATAAACTCCAGGTAAAATGGGTGGGTGATGTTAAACATTGAGAAGCCCACGATGTTTGACTGCTCATCCACTATATCATCCAACCACAGCAACGGGAAGTCCTGCACACACACAGGAATGGCATTACACAGCAGAAAAGAGAGAATATCAGCCTGTGTGTAAGAATTAGAAATATGAAAGAATATAGAGCTCAGGATCAGAATAATGACTAGTCCTGTGAAATGGTACTGGTTAAGTGGTATTTGAGTAGTTGAGTATAGTTTGTGTATAGACTGAATGAATGTTGAATGGTGCACGTGAGCAGTGTGCATAAGACGAGCGATGAGTTAAACTAGACTAGTTAATTAAAGGTGTGTGTGAATGCATGCAAGGTTTGAGTAACATTGCTGATGTCATTCCCAACTCTGACGCCTAAAAAGAAAGGCAAGAGGAACGAGACAAAAACATTTCATTGTGTGTGCGAATGGGAGAGCTGCATAGAAAAGCAGAATATTTCAGTGCTCATTGTAGAATACAGTCCTTCAGAAACATTATGATATTTATAGTATCTATACATTAAAATGCAGGTATACTGAACAAAGCTGAATTACAAGGTGACGAGAGAACGAGAGACTGAAGTGGGCGAGAAAAGGAGAATGAATGAATGAATGTGAAATGAGCCAAAGCAACAGCATTTAGATAATATGACTATATGCTTACCTTTTTCAGTATAAGGTAAGATATAGATGCATTAGCATCAATAATTATTGTAGCTATTTTGTCATCACGAATCTCCTTTAGTAAAGGCGTGGGGTCAAGGTTGTCATCCAGCATCCTGATTGACAGCGTCTCTCGAGAGATCAGAAACCCCCTTATCAGCTCCTCCAGTCTCAGCAGACCTGCGGGGAAGAAGGCAAGTTGTTGGCAGAAAGGATATGAACACTCATACACCAGACTGGAATTGAAAGGGGCCAAACCTAGCTTCATGTAGTGTACCTGAGATGGTTTGTGTCTGAGGTTGTTTGTAAACAGCATGCATCTGTCTGTTTGCAATGCTGCTGTGAAGAAAGTTAGTCGGTGGCAACACAAAGCCCAGTGAAAATGTAAATAACTAGCTGCGCTCTCAAGGGAGCCCTCATGCACAGAAAGAGCCAGTAAAGCCAGTGCCAAACTAATTAGCTTGAGGGAGGAGAGAAATCAATGCTCTCCACACTCTCATTCTCTCTCTCTGTCTCTTGCTCTCAATACCTCCCCTTTTTCTGTCTTTCTTTCACTGATTTCTCTCGTTCATTCTGATTCTCAGCCTCTCTGTTCGCTTCATTCCACTAAATTTGTCTCTTTCTCGATATTTCACTTTCTTATTCCCACAGCTGTGTTATAAAGTGAACTCAAACCTTCTGTTTTCCACCAGAGACCAGTGCTGTCACACACTGAAACAAACATTATCAGACCCAGCCGTCTGCTTAATGACTCATGTGTCACAGTGACTAGAGCTCTGTACAAAAACCTAGCGAGCAGCCAGCATTGTAGGACATCAAGGTGCAAAACCTGTTTCAAAAGGTAGCCATTTTAGTTATGAGATGCCTAAATTCTAGCAGCAAGAAGGTAATCCCAGAATGCACTGCACCAAGTTCAAAGAAAAAAAATGCATGCAGAATGAAGGTTTTATTAGTTTTATAAGTATTTATTAGTGAATAAATAAATCCAAGATGGTGGACGAGACAAGATTGTTGATTATACATACAATTTTCTTTCATTCAATACTGAAAGTGTCAATAAAAATACTTTTGTTTTAACACTATTTTAATGCAATATTTGTGAGTACTATATAATTTCATGTTTACTGAGGATTCCTATTAAAATAACTAGATTTCACCCACAAAAATTCACCAAACACAGCAACATGCTAATGTAAAACTCTATTGAAATCAATTGTGTGGTGCATAATTTGTGTGCTGTGCAGAGTTGCTGCTTTCTTAAATACAGTCATTCATTTGGTTTCATCATACTTAATGGGGTAGCTCACCCAAAAATAAAAATTCTGTCATTAATTACTCAGCCTCATGTTGTTCCAAACCCATAAGACCTTCGTTCATCTTCGGAACACAAATTAAGATATTTTTGATGAAATCTGAGAGCTTTCTGACCCTGCATAGACAGCAATGTAACTGACACATTCCCAGGCCCAGAAAGGTAGTAAGAACATCTTTGAAATAGTCCATGCGACATCAGTGGTTCAACCATATTTTTATGAAGCTATAAGAATACTTTTTGTGCACATAGAAAACAAAAATAACAACTTCATTCAACAAATTCTTCTCGTCTGTGTCAGTCTTTGCCGCATGTTCAGGAGAGTAGCATGACGTATGCGTGTGGTGATGCTGGTGCGCGGTGCCTTGTTTACAAGCAGAGGATGCGCGGTGCCTTGTTTACAAGTAGAGGAAGACGCACGCTGTACATAAAACATGGAAACATATCTGAAGATTTCAACAGAGAGGATGAAAGCCAAGCCTTTCTTATTTGAACCAGAATATACAGTCGATAAACTAAGAGACATGGATGTTCTATGTCAGAACGCTGGCTCCTGCGTCAGCAGCATCACACGCATGCGTCATGGTACTCTTGTGAACGCGGGCCAAAACTGACACGGAAGAGAAAAAATTGTTGAATGAAGTCGTAATTTTTGTTTTCTATGTGCACAAAAAGTATTCTTGTAGCTTCATAAAAATATGGTTGAAACACTGATGTCACATGGACTATTTTAACGATGACCTTACTACCTCTCTGGGCCTGGGAGCGTTTTAGTTGCATTGCTGTCTATGGAGGGTCAGAAAGCTCACGGATTTCATCAAAAATATCTTAATTTGTGTTCCGAAGATGAACGAAGGTCTTACGGGTTTGGAACGACATGATGCTGAGTAATTAATGACAGAATTTTCATTTTTGGGTGAACTATCCCTTTAAGGGCCACGTTCACATAGAACGTGATTTTTGCATTTGACCGCAATGCTTTTCTGTTGTTTTTCTCTGTAAACATGCTAGATGGACATGTTTGACCGTTGTGCTCATGTCTTGCATCATTTGCAGCATCTCATCATCTTTTCTCAGCGACACATCTTTTTAAAAAATGCTAAGCTTAAGTTCAGAGTAGTAAAACACACCTCCATACCTTGCAGGTTTTTTCATTCCACTGCCCTGCATCTCGTGTTTTTAAATGCAAAGATGCTGTCTGTATGAATCACTTCTTAGTATTCTGCTTATGCAAAGTATAGTCAACAAGGCAGCTGGCTTAGTTTTGGAACATATGTATGCAGGAGATAAAAATCATGGTTAAATTCTGTGTAAAACATAAGCTTTGTAAAAAAAAAAAAAAACTTAGAATGTGTTTACACAGTTGTTTAGATGTTCCTTTCATGCTTTTTCAATCTGACAGACAAGAGGTCACTAGAGAAAAAACAGTTGAAGCTGTGTGGCATCAGATGACAGTTTCATAAATTAAAGGCAATGAGGTTCACTACAAAATCACGGCACACAACACACATGAAAACATTTGTGTCAAAACAGGCTTGCGAAATTGCTTTCTATCTGTTTAACGAGAAGCTGTAGTGCAGCAGCGAGCCTGTCTCCATCTCTTGCCACCATTTTAAATTAGCTTGATGAGTGGCAAGTTGCACCTACTCTGCTGCCATAGCAACCATAGTGCAGCCAACTGGGTCAGAGCTGAGCGTTATGTAGCGATGCCCTCTCTAACACACATGAACGTCCAAAAGCACAAACACACACACTCACACATGCACACACTCTGCATACGTGCTGGTGTCTCACACATTAACACGCACAGCAGGGGGGGAGATTTATTCTCAGATTACGTGAACGTTATGTTGTCCAGTGACATGCTGTGTAATTGCCCAGCAGTATGTTTTATTGGCACAGCTACCTATTACAACAAAGTAACTGTTAGCACTTGCAGTAAGAAAGCACTGCAGTGTCATTATCAGAGTCTGTTCTCCAGAACTTCTGTAATTTCATCTCTCTCATCAGCCTTGAATACATATTGTAATTAGAGTGTTTGCTGAGACAGGATGATTGATTGGGCAGATGGAGTTGAGGAAATCAATTTAAACGTTTTTTGGAAAAGTGGAATTATTGTAAATGGGTTGTTTTCTTTAGAAAAGGTAAAAAAATGTACCTTTCTCTGAAGACTTCAGCACTAACTCGTAATTATAATTATCCTATGCTAAAAAAGTGTGTGTTGCTCTCCATGTGGAATAACTGTACATATTCAAGCTTGAAGGAAGACCAGAGCCGCTGATGAGCAGAGCAGAGGTCTTGGACTCACATTCGGCCTTAGCGCAGACCAGACTAGCCGATGGGTAGCTGAAGGAGCGTAGGATGGCTCCGATGGCAAGGCTCAGATCCTCGTTGCTAGGATACAGAGTCACAGATGCAAAGCGCAGGTAAGGAAGCCGTGGAGTCTCTTCCGGACCGATTTTGACATGCGGAATCTGAGAGAGAGCAGTTTGAAGAACAAAAGGAAAGAGATTATGGTTAGTGAATTAACACAAAACAAGTAAATGTGGAATATTTAAATGAAGCGCACCTCCTTTTCCCCACAGATGTGACTGACTATGGAGCCAGAGGCAGGGCTGGAGGCGGGGCCAATCACAGAGACCACGCCCTTTGGCAGAATCTGGCACACTACGACAAAAAAAGTAGCGCATTTCATTCCTCATATCCACTCTGTTTGAGTCACTGTATGCTGTACTGCTTTACTTCAAAGTTTTTGTGTGCAGGGATATATATGTGTGTGTGTGTGTGTGTACTTTTTAATGTATGACTCACTAGTATCTGTAGTCTCATACTGAGAGTCTTTCTGGAGTTCAAATATGTCGACCTCCACGCGAGCACGAGCCGGGCCCTCCATCACACTGTTGATGTTCTCGCGTGCTAACGCTAAAGCTAAGCGCTCCCCACGCCCACAGACAGAGCTGTCATCCAAAATTGCCGCTAACAGAGGAGAGAATGAGAATGAGAGAGAGACAGACAGATAAAGTAAAGATAAATCATTACAAGAATGGGTACAAGTAATATAAAAGCAATATATAACAACCCTTTAATAATCACTCTTTTAAAACAACCATCTACCATGTCCAATAATGATAAAGTCAGTAATAAAGTCTATTTTTAAAGTCAATAATAAAGATTATTTATAATGATTCTGAATTGCCATAGTGTATCTAACAGGATCTTCTGTAATAAATTTGGTTATTCTCAACTGGTGGGCCAAAACCCAAAAATGTGTTGCAGGTTTGTTCTGATGGGGTCACAGATCAATTAGAAAAAAAATATTCTAAATGCAAATAATACAATTCAACTAACCATGTGCTCTACTGTTCAAAATTTCTGAGTAAATTTTTTTACTTTTTTTTTTAGATATTTTTTATGAATTCAAAGAATCCTGAAATGAACATATTTCCACAAAAATATTAAGCAGCACAACATTGATAATAAGAAGAATTGTTTCTTTAGCACTAAATCAACATATTAGAATGATTTCTGAAGGATCATGTGACACTGAAGACTGGAGTAATGACTGCTCAAAATTATGCTTTGTCATCACAGGAATAAATTACGTTTATTGCATTTGCACAAAATATATTAAATTTAAAAAAAAATTTGAAATTGTAATAATATTTCACAATATTACCGTTTTACAAAAGAGTCAAGCTGCTTTGAAACAATGTGTATTGTAAAAAGCGCTATACAAATAAATTTGAAATACAGTAAAATTTAATTCAATGCAAATGTACTCAAATAAATGCTATATATTTGTCTCATCCTTGAAAACCATAAACAAAAATTACAATGCAAGAAACATTTACAAACCAAAAGTGTAAACTTTCCTATTCAACAGGTGTCATGTTAATAATTTTGCATATTTTAGTGTTTATGCAGTTTATAATAGTACATTTTAGTTTAGTTTAGTGCAATAAAATGTTGGTACTTTGTTGCCACTTGATTTCTAGAATTAAATCTGGGTCATAAAACAAAACCATTTGAGACGCACTGGTTTGACATTCACAGACAGATACTGGGCTTGTCAATCACATGACATGAGTCCATATGCATGCGACACTTACCCATCCGTACGGATGACAGAACAGAGGTCTGGCTCAGGGAAGAAGGCGGCATGGTAACCACGGTGACTAACAGGAAGCGGAAGTAAATCGACAGCAGGAGCGCTGGCAGTTCCGGCATCTTCTACCGCTCCTCATGGAGATGCCTTCTGCTGCCTATAGCACCCCCTAGATGAACACAGAAATGAGATGAACTTTGTTATACATGAGCACTTATAGATTTCCGCCAAATTGTACATTTCAACTTGCTCCGGTAGTAGGCAAAACAATTAATCAAGCAACAAACATGTAAAAGGTAAAACATAAAATATCAAACCATTGTTTTGGGCATGGTTTTGTTTCGACCTGACATTTATTAAACATTTCCTTGTCCTGAGAACTGTTAGGAATCTTTGGATTAACCCTTTGGATTACCCTGTTTGGACATTGTTCGCCGGAGATCGACCACACCCGTTTACTGAACTATTCTTGTGTCTTGCCCTCAATATACCTGTTGCCATTGTCTGACCCTCGCCTGTTTCTGACCACGCCTTTGAATAAAAGCTTTGCAAATGGATCCGCACGTCTCTCGTCCCTGTCGCCTCGTTACAAGAACACAGTTCAACATTTGCCTGAATACAAAACATACAAAACTACTGCTAGGCAAACAATGTTTTTTTAATAGAACTTCTTACTCCAATCCCTATATAGTTACTAAGATAAAAACTTTCTCTTGAGACAACTTGCCCTGGTTTGCCCTATATCATCTCTTCTTTGGGAGATATACATTAATGTTCAAAAGTTTGGGGCCAGTATGATTTTTTAATTTAAAAAAAGTGTCTGATGTTCACCAAGGTTGCATTTATTTGATAAAAATACAGCAAAAACAATCAACTGTGATATATTATTACAATTTTAAAGAACTTTTCTATTTTAATTTGAAATATTAATTATTATTATTAATTTTTATATATATATATTTAAACATGTAATTTATTCCTGTGATAACAAAAGTTGAATTTTTACTCCAGTCTTCAGTGTCACACAATTCTTCTAAAATCATTCTAAAATGCTCAAAAAAAAAAAATCGTACTGACCCCAATCTTTTAAACGGTAGTGTAAGATGCTGTAACCCTGTTATACAGTACTTTAAAGTTTACAGAACAACACACTACTGCTCAGTTAGTTTTACTGCAACATTACGCACTGTTTGGTGTTATAATGGAGTCGACAGTGGTGTGCGAAACATCATCATGAATTAAAGAATCTTATGACAGTTTGCTGACGCAGGTCACGACCGTGTCACGCACATCCCTAACAGCAGTACAGGGAAATCACACAGACAAACAAACACCTGATGTGAAGTATTTGATTCATACACTCTCTCCCACACACACAACTGAAACCAATCTCAGTGAACTCTGACCTTTACAGACCTAACAAAATGTATTTGACCACAGTGTATTTGATCACTTTTTCCAGTGATGGATGTACTTCTCCCTGTTTCATTGTTCATTTCTCAAAATTAAATTATTAAATTATTATTATTAAATTAATTATTAATTCTCATCCCCCTCTTTCTTTCTTTTTAACAGTCACTTTGTATGTGTCAGCAGGCCACAAAAAGTGAGAAAGAGAGTAAATGAAAAGACACAGCGTGTGTGTATACAGAATTGAAGAAGCCATTATTGTTCCACTATAATTATTGCAGGCAAATACTAATGACCAGTGTCACAAATATAAATCTAAAGTTCACACCCGCTGTTTTGCATATGTGCACGCCTGAATAAAGCGATACTTGGCAGTCAGCAAGTAAACTGTAAAATCTAAATTATTTAGGGGAGAGGGTGGGAGCACAAAAGAAAGAGGTGACCAGATATGTGGAACGGGGGACTGAAATAAAAAGCAGGGTAACGAAAGGAAAACAAAGAACGAGAGAAAGAAAAAAGAGAATGAAAGACAGAGAGAAAAGGAGACATTGAGAGAGAATATGCTTGAAGAGGGAGCCCTCGGGGAAAGGGAGGAGTAGATAGCAGCCGCTTCATTTGTTTCTTCTTCATCTTTGTAAGTAAGAAGTGAATCTGACAGTTATAATAATAGCAGAGTGATTCATTCTCCTTAATTGATTTGGACTGTGAAATGAGAATGCTGGATGCAAGCATTGCCAGTACCGGTTGTCACCAGGCTTCTGTGAGACGAAGATGAAGCATCGAGGATGCCTTTTCCCTTCTTATCTTTGCCTTTTCCACTTGTGGAAAGTTTCCTTTGCGGAGGCAGGAAAAGACACCCGTCATGTGTCCCTCCTGGCACTCCATGGGCTGAGAGCACAAGAGCTTCATAAAACCATCAAAAGCCCTCTTCATCAGGGGTCTGAAATCGTCAGCGAACACAAACACACACTGGCGTGCTGAGGGGCAAATCACTAAGAATGAATTGCACTCAATGGCGGTACTTTTTTGCTTATTTGCACACGCTATATGCATGATTCACTAAAATAAATATACAAATTAAGTCACAAACGCTCCTACAGCAAACTACTACAATCTGTCACACTTTACTGGAACTGTAAAGCAGCCCTATCATTTAGGTACCTGTCCACTTTAGTATATGTACCTTTATGGTACTAATAGGCAGGCCCCCTTTAGGTGCAAATAAGGTACAGAGGTGTACTTTTGAAATGATCCTGCCGCAGTGACAGCTATTGTATTTTTTTCTGAGAATGTAACATAACAAAATTGGAACTAAACTAAAATGCATGTTCATGACTCCAAAAACTAAAAACGGCCACAAATTAATTTGTTTTTAATACATAGTATAAAATTTGAAATCTTCACAACCTGTCTACATTAAACATGAAACACCATCACTACTCAGAAATAAAATTAGAGTGTACTGAGAAATTTAGCATTGTCATTAGTTCATTGGTACATTAATTTTGGAAGCCTTTATTTTTTAAAAGTATAAGATTAAAAAAACTGAAACTAAAATTCTGGAAAAAATAAAACTAACAAAAAGTATACCAAACTAAAAACAAAATAGAAATTTTTTTTTTTTAAATTTGCTTTAAAAAATGCAATTTATGACAATGCAATGGTACTAATAGGCAGGCCCCCTTTAGGTGCAAATAAGGTACAGAGGTGTACTTTTGAAATGATCCTGCCGCAGTGACAGCTATTGTATTTTTTTCTGAGAATGTAACATAACAAAATTGGAACTAAACTAAAATGCATGTTCATGACTCCAAAAACTAAAAACGGCCACAAATTAATTTGTTTTTAATACATAGTATAAAATTTGAAATCTTCACAACCTGTCTACATTAAACATGAAACACCATCACTACTCAGAAATAAAATTAGAGTGTACTGAGAAATTTAGCATTGTCATTAGTTCATTGGTACATTAATTTTGGAAGCCTTTATTTTTTAAAAGTATAAGATTAAAAAAACTCAAACTAAAATTCTGGAAAAAATAAAACTAACAAAAAGTATACCAAACTAAAAACAAAATAGAATTTTTTTTAAAAAAAATTTGCTTTAAAAAATGCAATTTATGACAATGCAAATAACGCTGATTCCTATAAATAATGTGAAATTTAAAATTGGCATAATTTACAAAGGAAACATGTTAGTGCTGACAAGAATGACAGTGACAGTGCATTTGCAGATCTTTATATTATGTTTCTGGACTGGAGGTTAACTTATGAAGTTCTAAAATTTTTTTGCACCAAAAAATTTCAAGTATTTGCACAAACGATCATTTTCCATCCTCACTTTCACTCTGTCAAAAACACATACTACTGTGATTGGTGAAGTTCACTGCATCGTATCCACAGTCTCCCCCACAGCAAGCTTGACGTCTTTTGAGGTGGTCAAAGAGAGCCAGCAGCCCAGCACTGTAATAGAGCCATATTTGTTTGAGCTCAAAAAACCAACGCAACAACATTTGCAACAGCCTGTTTCAGCATGGTAATTCATCACGCTTGCTAAAATCTATTATCTGTGTATATATTTCTAAACCTATTATTATAACTTGTTGTGAGACTGCTATAATTAATTGATATTTAGAAAAAAACTGGCAACATGTTGAGAATAATTAAGAAAAAAGTCCTTTGTGATGTTAGACGAACAAATGAAAAACACTGTCATTCAATCGCTCAGGCACATTGTTAAAAATAAACGTCAGTCAATAGTTGGATCTTTTAGAAGGGTATGCATAGTTTTTTGAGGTGCTGTTTGTCTACATACAGGGACAAAACAACGTGAATTATCTTAAAATCTTTCCCTCACATCTGTATAGTTCTTGTGATTGATGGACATATACATTAAGAGCACATTTCCTTAGATCGCACGTTAAAAGGTTAAATCTGTTTATCATATAAAGTGACTATCTTTTCACAAGACTTGAATTAAACCCTTTGATTCATATGGATTCATTTTATGATGTCTTTATGACCTTTTTGGATCTTCTAAGTTTTGGTTCCCCGTACTTTCAATAGAGAGACAGAAATCTCTCAAATTTCATTACAAAGTCTCTAATTTGACATTATTTTCATTTTTGGGTGAACTATTCCTTTAAGTCACATGTAGACGACAATCATATAACCACGACTGGGGAGATTTCAAATCCTTGCGTTTAAGAAGGATGGAAAACCAAAATAAACTGGGGAGGTTAGCTTTGAGGTATCATCCTGAGGCAGAATGTTTTTACTGCAAAGTAACCTCTTATACGTGTAAATATCAAAGACATTTACATTTACACCCATTTAATGTGCATATGGTGCAGTGCAATTTAAACACATTTACAGATTGGTTAAACTACACTGGCAGATGGTTAGGAAATAAGATGTGGGGTTTTGCGCTGAAATACCACATTCAGACTTACTGAGTCTTCTCTCAATGGGCAAATCAGCCAGAAACAGCTTGTCTCTCCCTAATTCTCTCCATCTCTTCTTCTGTCAGCTGATTCAGTGTATTTCTGCTCTCCTCTGACAATCTTTCAGCAGCACGCCGCTTTGAGCCTCTTACTTTGTCCTTAACCCACCCTGTAACATACACACACATGCACTCTCTCACTTGTACAAAGAGAAAATCCACCAGCTTGACAGTCGATCCTTCCTTTTTCTTGCCTCCTTCTGATCCTACATGTCTCTTTGCATTTCCACCAACCTCTCTCACAGTTTCACACAC